GGGGGGGGGGGGGGGGGGGAGCTAAATAGACCGCCACGTTAATCTCGGGCCGAGCACTCGAAACCCTAACGCGGTGCCCAGGGCCAAAACATTTTATCTCCTTTGAAGACCTATGTTGCAGCAGTATGGTCGGTTCTCTGAACGCCGGCGCTTCGTTTTCGTCCGTTTGTGCAGTTGGATGGCCACTAGACGAGGTCAGGTACAAAGCCGCTCCCAGCGCCCGGTGTCTAGAGTATAGAGTTGATGGTGTAGGCTTCCTGAGAGCTTAGGCGACAGTTATGTTGGAGGATGGCTATCAGTTTTTTTCTGAATGTTTCGGCTCTGATGTTTTCCGAACCTACAAATCCTGGTCGACCCTCTTCTCAATTCCTGCAGAAGCCATGCTCGAACCGAGCCACTAGCTTCAACAAGCCCATGTCAGCAGGGCATCACGCTTGCTCCCGGACATGGGTACAGTCAATGCCGCCATGTCGTCCTGCGCGTTGTCCGGCCGCTTGATTTTGGGTTTCGGAGCTTGTGAAATTTTCGGAACGCAATATGTCAGGTTGGGCCGCAGGCATATGGGAGGATTTACAGTTTGGATGTTGCCGCTTCAGATTACCTGGACCTGGCTGGACCCCACAGCTCTAAACGTAAAGCACTGACGCCGCAGCATTGAATGCCTTCGAAGCTTCATTTTCGGGCGCAGGCTTTCAGGGCTCACGAGGCCTGTAGGGTCAAGGGTTTCAGGGTTTCCAGGGCTTACAAGGCCTACATATCGGGCTCGTAAGGTCCAGGGTTTTTTCTTGTCGTGTTCAAGTTGTTTGTGCGAAACGATCTTGGGCACTTGCCAGGGTTACATGCTTGCTTGGAGGAACAGCAGGAATGGGCAGGCTAGACGGCTACAAGGCACGCCGCGCCGAAGCCCCAAACGACCGAAATCTAACGAAGCACAAATGAAACCTTCAGCCTAGCACTCTAAACCCTTCCGAGAAGAGGGGCTCACAGGCCGAGAAGCTCGCCGACGATTCTGCTGTAGATTCTACAACGTTTTTGTCTTTGCAGAACTGGGCCTTGAACCCGAGACCCGGGAAGTGCGGGACTTCCGGCACCCTAGGCTCCTGGTGCAGGGCGCTGGCACTGTTGTGCTGGCATGGCTCGCGGTCGCGTGCGGATAGGCTGGAGAGTTCGGGAGTGTAGTGGGCTTTAATTCCTCTTTGCGAGGCTTTCATTTACAAATTCATTGCAGACAGTTCATTTGTGGGGTTCCTACTTTTAAGGACGGATGAAACGGGATGCTTATCAAGGGGTCTCCGTGTGCGTTCAAAGCTAAGGTGCCTTTCAGCATCTCCTCCGCCTTCAATGCATGGTATACCCAAGAACTGTCTTTAAGAGTTTTGGGGGTCGAGGCTTCCCATGCCGCCTGAACATGTTTTGCGGCTGAGCCCCCTAAGGGTTCGATTTTTCGGGCTTAGGGTCAGATAGTGACAGTCCTGGAGCCAGGTTTGGCTACAGCAGCCTGCTTGATGCCATGGAGCTTTGGCTGGAACTTGAAGCAACTAGCCTTGAGCCTGTGGGCCCTGCAGACCCCCCAAGTGAAAGTCCACGGTTGAGAAGAGAGGGCCCGCTAAAGGCGAGGGTGAGGGGATGGTTGTGGAAAGGTTGGTCCTGGCATGGCATGGAATTGTTATTACTGCTTCCACCATTAATGTGCCGGCCCTTTTAATAATATGGACCTCTTTGATGCGTTGTTTTTTTAAATTCAAGCCGGGACCAAAAAAAGGCGACCTAAAACCCCCCCTTCCAAAACCTAAAACCCTGGCCGTGAAGCCCGAAACTCTCCCTAAACCCGAAACCGCCGCGCCCTTCAGCCCAAAGCCTAAATCCCCCCTTGGGCCTAATCCCAACCTCCCCTTATTAAGCCTGAAAATAAGATCCCCCCGAACCCTGAAGCCCTGGACGCTAAAGCCTCTAAACTCCAAACCCTAAAACCCTGGCCGCGAAGCCTCAAACTCTCCCTAAACCCGAAATTGCCCCTAAGCCTAAAGCCTAAATCCCCGCTTGAGCCTAATCCCAACCTCCCTATTTAAAGCCTAAAGCCCCCCTCCAAACCCTGACCGAAACCGTGCCTAGACCCGAAACCGCCCTTAATTAAGCCTAGCCCCCCCGAGCCCAATTAGTCTCAACCCCCCTTAACCCTAAACCCTAGGGCCAACGACCTTAATTGCTTTCTTGAGCATTGCGAGGCTGTCTAGGGGGTTTAGGAGGGCCCAGGCTCGGGTTCTAGGTAGGGTTTACCTAAAGTGTGTGCTTTTGGGCTGAGAACAGAAACCTTAAGCTTTCCGATGCTTTTCAAGGGGTTTAGGAGGGCTCAGGCTCGTGTTCTAGGTGGGATTTACCTAAGGTTTGCGTTTTTGGGCTGAGAACAGCTCAGGCTTAAATTCTACGTGGGATTTACCTTCAGTCTTGGACCTCAGGAATGAAACTTTTTCTCAGGCGCGGCAGAAGGTCGAACCTGAGCAGAATTGTGCTCTGAGTCTTCGGTGCAAGTCTCAGGACTCTCTGAGGCGACCCTGCGACAACTTGCGATCTAGCTTAGAGGCTCTTAGACTACTTAGGGGTAATTAACTTAAACCCCAGTCTTAAAGGAGGCCCTCAACCCCAACCTTCAAGGAGGCCCTCAGGTTCAAGTGCTGAGGATCAAAACAGCAAGCAGCTTAGCTCTTAGGGTTAGGTTATAAACTTAAGGACAACTTAAGCGCCCAAGCCAGCCTGAAGAGGTCGCCGAGGGAGCCGTCGTTGGCTGAGGTTGGCATGCCAGGGCTTGGAACAAGAGGGCCCAAGCCAGCCTGAAGAGCTGGCTGCTGCTCGTGCAGGAAAGCTCTGAGGGCGTTAGGGCTTGGAACAAAAAGCTTTAGAAGCCGGCCTGAAGCAGCCTCGGATGGTGCTTCCTCAAGGATTACCGTCAGGTTCTGAGGGGCCGCCGGAGCTCCTGCAAGGAAGAAACTCAAGTGGCTTCGGTTTTTCAAGCAGCTTCACTCAAAGGAGACAAGGAATCTGAGGGCATACATCTAGAAATGGAAGAGCATAGTAATAGAAGGAATGCTTATCAGTTGGGTGTCCTAATTTGAAACGCTTCCCGTCGTCCGCCTCGGCCCGGCCGCAAACAAAGAGGGCCAACGAACTGCCAGTGCCTTGTTCGCTCGGTTGGCGGAGCAGACGAGGACGACTGCGCACAAAGGGGCGAACGGGAGGGGAACAGGGGGGCAAAAGGGGGGACTGAGAGCCCATTCAGGTTTGTCTAATCGCTGAGCACCAAGCCATACCGGGAGGCCCCCTGAGGCATCGTCCTAAGGCATTTTGTTTCAGAACCACACCACAGCAAAAGGTCACCTGAGTTGTCGTCTCAGGGTTACTAATGAATTCGTGAACCTAATCCTCAGCCGCCCTGAGTGTCGGCAGTGGCGGCGCTGGCGTGCGTGAACTCAGGGTCCTTTCTCCCCAGCTTCTTGATCGAACTGAGCAAAGAGCTTCTGAGTGTCCACGGTTCCTCAAGAAGCACGACTGAGTGGAGAAAAGAAAGCTTCCTGAGAGCAGCGACAGAGGCAGCTGTCCTGCTGAGATGTAGGGGACCATCTGAGCTTCCCGGGTTTCTCTGAAGACATAGTACCTCAGGGCCTTGTTCGGGTCGCAACTGCAGATGCAAGGAGAATATCTCAGGTCTACGATGATCTGATGACTTTTATTGCTTAGGTCCTGATAGCAGCACATCTTCAGCCTCAAACAGCGTCGTGACCGTAAGACCACTCTCTTCGACCTGAAATCCCCGTTGATCTAAGCATGGATCCTGAATTTGCCACAGACCTTGAGAATCCTGCATGAGGAGAGGCTGCATGGATCCTGAATTTACCATAGACCTTGAGAATTCTGCATGGTTTCTATGTGAATGCGATCAGTCTGCCAATGCTGCATGCCACACGCTCGCACAACGACGACCACGAGCACCACGATGTGGAGCACCACACTTCGTTATCACTAAGAGACTTTCTTTCGCAGTCCGCCGTGAGTGAGGGTTAGATGGCTCTGGGAGCATTTTGAAACAGTAGTCCTACATGCATGTTGAGCAGTCAACCCTGGTCGCAATAGACCTCTGCCTGCAGCTTGTTCATCGACATGGCTTGATGTGCCCTGATTGCCTTGTTGCTCTACTGCTATCGGTTGTTATCCTATCTGTGTTGTCTACCTTACTGGGCATTTCGGGCTAACCAGCCTGTCGATATGCAGGTATGTACATGTAGCAAGCTCGGGACCTTCTCTTGCCATACCAGCTTCGTGCGAGTGTGTGAGTCGAAACCCTCCTTAAAGGCGGAATGAACTTTAAAAAAGCTTGAGGCTCATCATATACCATAGGGATTCATAGTATAA